AATACTGTACAGGGCTCAGGTTAGGTTATTTTGGGATCATACGTCTATTGTACTTTCTCACACTTCATAGCCAAAGCACACAAAAATCAAGTGAAGTGGTAAGAGATTTTTCTATACGCAACCCTGCTTGGACCCAAACTATTTTAGTTCATTTGGGTTATGCTAATGCTGACTGCTTCAATTAAAAACTCCATCCCCAACATTTATGGTATAAAATTTAAAATTATCAGATGGTGCTCACAAACATGGAATCTCATGTGTCACCATCTCACTGGAAGTTGATTCAAATTTACTTATAACTTGGATTATTTGTTTTGTTCTTATTTTGAATTAAATTGTGTCTTTTCTACTATTGCTCCTAGGTTAGCACAACTAAACCAAAATCACTCCCCCTGAGGTGAGGCTGGCCCCAACCCCGTTGGCCTTCCAGAAGGCCCTCAAAACATGGTTTTGCCAATGAGCTTGGGGATCCGATGACAGAGTGGGGCCTGTTAGATGGTTGTATGATAGTTAACCGGATGTACTCTTGTATGCTTTGCTGCCATTCTGTCCCTTTTCTTGTTTTTACCTTGTTTTTTAATTATTAATTTAAATTGTGGTTTTTAATGGTTTTGGGGTACTTTATTATGTACTCCACCCAGAGTCACTATGTAAGATGTGTGGCTATACAAATGTGATAAATAAACAAATAAATGGTAAAATCCCTACTGTACCCAGTTAAAACAACTGGATGCTAGAAAAAACAGGCTTTTCTGAATAAAAACCTTAACAATTAGAGTTTTGTTGATATCTGTATTATATACAAGGGTTGCAGACTAATTAATGATTCTTACTGCACAGAGATAGAAAAATACTTTGTAATTTCACATGTATGCAGATATAGCAAAAAAACAAACCAAACACCAGACAACTGAAAAAACTCACTCCACTGAGTTGCTCTCTGTAAAGCACCACACACATGGACAATACTATATAAATAAGCAGTTCATTCATATTTGACTTTAAACAGTCTCTTTTATAAAAAATAAATTATGGGACATATACTGGAGATTTAAAATTTATTTACTTAAAATGGCTACTCTTTCTGACAACTCACAACCTGACTATGTATATACACCTGCATATTCTTTCTAGATGGTGGCTGGCTTACAAGGAAATCTCTGTATTAAGAGATCCAAGCTTGCCTAGAGTAACTGTATTTTTATTTATGGTCATTGACCAGTCATATACAGCATACAAAGATACAACCAAAACAACCTTGAAAAATAAAAATAACACTATAATAAAAAATAAAATAGCAGAATCACTACAGGGAAAGAGAAAAATGGCACTCATCTGATAATATTATATAAATAAATTAATTTGGGTTATATGAGATTTCACCTCTGGCCCCTGGACCACAAATCAGGGTGTAATTTATTATTACTATAATAAACCTGCAGCAGCAGTATTATCAGCAAATTGAACGGTTTTAAAGCCAGATAAAATCCAAGTATGAACTCTCATAGCTGCTAAGCAAAATTTGGCTTTGGGATGTCTGGTGTTGGTCCGATAGTCTGATAGGAGTGCAAAACACACCTCAACTTTTCAGTCTGATTAGTCTTTTACAGGAAGCTCATATAATCCTATAGAAATTACAATACATTAAGATATGACTTGTGTCCCTTTTTGCAAGAGAGCTATAGGGAAAAATCATTCAGAATAGGGGATCTTATAATGTCCATCCTCAACAACAGTTCAGAGTCATTCATCAAGCCTGACTAGACAGACTTGCAAAGAAGAGGGTGAGCATACTTGGGAAAAAACTGGATTTTGGTTGTAATTATGGAATACTGGCCAAATGTGCCAAAACTGACCGGTATGGTCCTTACTGTTAACAGAAAATGTGCATGTGACATTGGTATAATTAAGGCTGATAACCTAGTCAACACCTTCTCTGTCCTACAAAAAGCATTATGCGAAAGCTTTCACTGACCAAAGCCATTATGGGAGGTGGAGGTCAATATCTATGATGTCTCCCTGATGATTATGGCTTATAGAAGATTACACATGGAATAATAATAATAATAATAATAATAATAATAATAATAATAATGATGATGATGATGATGATGATGATGGTGATGGTGATGATGCCTGAATTAAGGAATAAAATAAAGAAAAATGTTTTTGCAGTTTTTACAGAAACTGTGTTTCTGAAAAACTAACAAAACAAGGTTGTAACAGAGAATGGAATAAGCATGGTCTGATTTTTATACAGTTGATGAATGTATTCAGAGAAATAAAGCTGTAGATTTATGTATGAAAGTGCTAAAATGTATGTGAAAAAGTATGAATTGGAGACATCCTGGTTGCTGTTGTTGTGGGTGCCTATGAAAGTAGGAATTCACAGATAGATGATAGCGCATGTTAAACTCCAATGAATGGTGACAATGGAAGGACCAGAGATGACATCTGGGGAAAATTGTGCAAAATTCTGAATTAATGCTATCTAGGGAGGGGAAAATAATTGGTGGGGCTATGGTTTTCTCCTTGTAGTTCCTACCATAAGTCTATTAATATGTATGCATATTTTAGAATATAATTCTAAAAGTATGATTGATCTGATGGTTCATGATGAAAAACTGAGAATATTAGAGAAAGGGTATAAGGGGATGGGAAATTTGGAATGTGGGATTGATCATTATTTGGTAGTGTCAAAATTGGCTCTTGGAAAACTTAACTTCGAAGAAAAGGAAAGAAGTGAAAGAAAGGAACTAAAGAAAAAGGAGAATGACTGAAAGAAGAGAAAGTATGGGAAAATATTACTAGATATTCTTCTACAGAATGAATTAAGTTTGGATGTTAGGGAAGACAATGTGAAACAAGTTTGGAACAGACTGAAAAGAAATATGATGCAAGGAGCTACAAAATTGTGTGGAATTATGTAATAGGAGGTATGAAAAAGGATGCTTGGTTGAATGATGCAGTGAAAGAAGCTGTGGATGAGAAAAATGCATCTCAGTTTTCTAAAAATGCAGATGAGTGAAATATATTTTATCATGTGCACCCACAGAAAAGATAATTTCAAAGAATTTAATGAAAGATGCGAAGAATGATTTAACATTAAAAGAGGCAGAGAAAATACAGAGCAATTTTAATGGAAATTTAAAAATTGGGAGTAGACAGAAAGGACTAAACAAGGAGACTTCAACAGATTGAATTAAAAATAAAAGTGATGAAATGATTATAGATAAAACTAAAATAAGGGAATGCAGAAAGATGGGAATGATAATGAAAATGGAATTGGAACACATGCTGTAAATGTTAGTATCCAAGAGTAAATGTTGAAAAGGAAGTAATAAATGCTGTGAGAAAATTGAAATATATTTAATGTGAAGGATTAGGAAGCCATACATAGAAGATGTTCTCCATCTAACAATGTCCAGGAATCTGATGAAACAACAATATGAATGTAGGTTAGCTTAATGACTTTTGTTACCCCAAGCTAGATCAAAGTGAAAAATACACACTGGCTCAGTTTGTCTTTCCTGGTTCTATTATGAAATTCATGACAGGATCATAACATGATGCTGGTTTTTTTGTTGCCACCTAAGTGAAAATGAAAAGAGGTCATTGTCCATTAACTTATCAATGACCTTGTCTAATCTGCCTAATACTATATTCGTAATCAAATATTTTATATTTGGTTAGCAAATACTGCCACAAAGCAATATACCAGTAAAATGGATGCAGGCAAGAAATCAGGTGTGAAGAAATTATGCAAACTTAGGAAGATATCCAATGTTTTAAAAAAAGAGAAAGAAATTTAAACATCTCACTTCCCCAGAAAAAAAAGCTGCTTACATATTTATTACATTTATACTTTGCTCTTCAAAGAAGCTCAGATCATCATTCATAATTCTTTCCTCCCATTTTTACAATTATAAGAATCCTACATGGTATATTACTGTTGGAAGACCTGAAAGACCAGGTTAGGAACAGTTTGTCATGGAGAAAATCTGTCTAAGTGATCACTAAGAGTTGGCATTGGCTTGATGGCACATAATCAATCCTCAATCAACATGATCCATTTGGCAAGCAACAGCAACACTTCCATACAGCTTGTTTTCCCTTTCCCAGACCTTCGCAAATGTGCTACCTTCTAAGTGTCCTTCCTTCCTTCCTGCCTTCCTGCCTTCCTGCCTTCCTGCCTT